TGTGCCATAGTGCTTCCCCTCCTCCCCTGGGAATCAAGGACCTAATAGCTACACATGCACATATTCAGTTCCTGAACAATTACCCATATATGTATGTTTTGATTTAGTCCCCTGGGAGACAGGGTCAAAATGACCTCTTACCTCATCTGATCTGGCAACAGCTCTCCAGTCAATTATTGGTAATAGCCCTTTCGAATAAGTCAATCATAATAGTCAAAGAACAACTCCCCTTGCTTCTGTGGCCCCTTTAAAAGTAGACTGTACCAGCTATTCGAGGTCTCTCGGCTTCCCGAATGCTGAGGGACCCTGTCATGACAGAATTAATAAAATCCTCATGCTTTTGCATTGGCTGTGGTGTGTGAGGTGGTCTCTGGGGTCGACTCCTCCTCGGTGTTTGGACGCTAGAGTCCAACATTTGGTTCCCTGACCGGGAATCGAGTTGCTCCCAGACACACTCTAGGCCCAGTTGGAGGTATAAATAAACGAGCTCATTTTTGTGTCTGTCTGTCTGTGTATTGTGTTTCTGTTTCTGTGTAATTGTGAATCAGTAATCTGAGAATTGTACTTGCGCAGGGTCTGTATTGAAATGGGGCTAAGGGAGGAGGCAGACGTGTCCCGAGATCCCTTGCCCTAGCCCTGAAAGACGTTTCATGGGCATTTATGGGAGGGAGGGGTGACCAGGTCACCCTAATCTCCAGGGGAGACATGATCCTCCATCTGTATTTTTGGATCTGCTGCCATGCAGCTTCTGATTTTGAGTCTATGTCTGTCCTTTTGTTCTTGTGTATTTTCAGTTCTACACCAGAGTACCAGCTTCTGGTTTTGAGTTTATGTCTGTCACTTTGTATTTTTGTTTTTGTATGTCAGTTTGTCTTTGTTAAAATCCACCTGCAGGAATTCAGAACCTGGCACCAGCCCCCTGGCCATCATCAGCTCCCCTGATCCCGAAAGCAGCCCCGCTGCTGAAGGAGGCAGTGGCTGCCCCTCCCCAAGCCTTTTGTCTTCTCTCTTTCCTGTACAGGAGCGAAAGAAACTCAGAATCCAGGCACCTCTGGTTCTTCCTGATATCCAGCCGAGCGTGGCAGACTTCTCCCTCCTCCTCCCTGGGAGGAAGCACTTCGTTCCTGAGGAGCCCCACTGGTCGGGCCCTACCCTGAAAACTTTAGTACTCAGCATCTATGCTGGGACAGGGGAAGGATGAGAGTGACTTTCCAAGCATTTCCCCTTCGCTCAGTAGCAGGCCAATTACAATACTGCCTTTTTCTGCCTCTAATCTTTACTTATAACCCTTCCTTTTCTTGGGACCCTCAGGCCGTGACTGGGCTTATAGACTCTGTTCTGGTTTTTCATCAGTCCACTTGGGATGATTGCCAGCAGCTCTTACAGGTGCTCCTAACCACAGAGGAAAAAAGATTGTCCCAGGAGCTGAGAGCAGGCCAACCCAGTCACTGAAAGAGATAGACGACGGGTCGCCTTCCCTCTGACTTGGCCCAGATGGGACCCTCTCATGCTGGTAGGGAGCAGCTCCATCTTTATTGCTAGATTCCGATTGGCGGGTCTAAAAAAAGGGGGGGGTTGCAGAGCACCCCACTAATTTGCTAAATTGGCTAAGGTAAGAGCAATAGTACAAAGGTCTGATAGTACTCCTACAGGATTTTTAGAAAGACTATTGGAGGGGTACAGGATGTGAACCCATTTTGATCCCATGGCAGCAGATCGCCAAGGCAATGTAGTGATGTCTTTTATAGGCCAGTCAGCATCAGACATTCGTAGCAAGTTGCAGAAAATGGAGGGACTGCAGAGATGCTCCCTCCAGGACTTTGTAAAGGAAAAAAAAATAGGGAGGCAACAGAAGACGACAGCTGCAGAGACTGTGCACCTCAGACAGAGCAGCCCCTGAGTAGCTGAATGCAGACTTCAGTGAGGAGTGGCCCTACAGGGCTTTGGGCTAGAGACACTTCCCAAAGCAGCTGCTGAGCAGAAGCAGGTCGGAGAACGGCGCCGAGCACAGCCGGCTACTGAAGCGATGCTCTGCCCACCTGAGAGGCCTACGCAGCAGCCACAGTGATAGTACTGAAATCCCCCCCCCCTTGCTTATGCTGTGCAAACAGGTATTCAATTCTGGGGTGTACGGGAAAAAGGGGAGGAGTTCCTCCTCGCTCTGTCTAAAGCATTTGACTATGGACACAAGGATGGCTGATTATTCCTGAGTGTCCCACACTTTTATTACAAAAAGACCTGTTGGAGACTTTGACTCCCCTACTGTTCTCCAGGGCTGTAAAGAAAAGCAGGCTGCTCTCTGCCTTTGCCATGCCCACCTCCCTGAGAAAGGCTTTGCAGCCACTGCCGGCTGAATCCTCCCCCCAGCTGCCTTGGTCACAGCCCAAGCCTGGGAACTCTGCTCACAGCCTCCTGCCCCCACAGGCAGCACTGACTGAAGGGAGGAGGGGCCCTGGAGATGCTGGAGCCCAATTCCAAACAGCCTTCCCGAGCTGCTTGCAAGTTTCACAGAGAACAACTGCTCCCAGCTCCCAGACCGCAGCTGTGGGAAGCTTGGGGTACTGCAATGCCCAAGCAGAGCCGGTTTTGGTGGCGCGTGCCGGTAGGATTTGCTGAAGAAGACAGGGCAGCAATGATAAATGAGCTGAGCAGCCTACTTAAAGGGACATCGGCCGGAAGGCAGAGAAGCTTTTTCTTACCAGGACTAAGAAGATCAAAGAAGAAATCTTCTCGAGGTTTGGCCTGCTCAAGGTAATCAAGGTTGATGGTAAAACTGCCTTGTTGCTCAGAAAAGTCAGAACATAGGTAAGATTGGGAAAAATTGCATTGTACATACAGACCCCAGAGTTCAGGACAGGTAAAAAGGATAAATAAAGACCCTTACCAAATTAGCCTTTGGAATCTGGCACTAGAGACTGTGTACAGCTCCTTCCCCTAGCCCTGTTCTGTATGCGAAACACCCCATCTCAGCTTGGACTAACCCCCTATGAGATCCAATATGGGGGACCCCCCTCTTAGTTTCCTAAGGCCCCTCATGACCCATTTGCTCACAAACCCCATCTACAGGCGCGGTTGAAGGCTTTCCAGATCTCCGAGCCCAGGCATAGAGAGCCCTGGCCACCCTGACACCTGGAAATCTCGCATTCGTTCCAGAATTGACGCCTGGGGTATATCCGGAGGGACATGAGAAAAGCTGCAGCACCCCACAGCAGCTGCCCGCTCATACCTGCAATCCACGCCTTCTCAAGCCCTTGCTTTGATACCCCTGCCCTCACCCCTGATTTCTGTCAACTAGTGGCAGAGCTAGCCTCCTGGGATATCCGAGATACATATCCCCCACAGCTGCCCCTGGAGGCTGGCAAAAGATTTTCCCCTGGAGGAAATATTTGGACACGGGGGTTCAGACATCTCCCCCACTTGTCTCCCAGGGGCGAGAAGCAGGACTGTATCCATGGGTGTCGGAAAAGACTTGGGATATAAAATGGTATTTATCTGACCAGAGCCTGCTGCTGCCGGCCAAACTATACCCTCCCTAATAATAGTATCTAAAATCAAGTGAGCCAAACCCTTGGCCACTGAGCCATTGCTAGGTACTCAACATCCGCCCTTTTTGTTTTTTGTTTCTTTTTTTTTATTTTTATTTTTTGGTTGTACTATCCTTTTTTATTTTTTAAAAAAGAAAACAAACCATCTTTTTTCATTTTACATATGAATCCCAGTTCCCACTTCCTCCCCTCCTCCCATTCCCTCTACCTGTCCCCCAAACCCCCATTCACTCCTCAGAGAGGGTAAGTCATATTGCTTTGGGGAAGGTCCAAGGCCCTCCCTACTATATCAAGGCTGAGCAAGGTATACATCCAAAGAGAATGAGTTCCCAAAAAGCCAGTACCAGCAGTAGGGACAAATCCTGGTGCTACTGACAGTGGTCCCTCAGTCTGCCCCAGCCATGCAACTGTCAACCACATTCAGAGGGTCTAGTTTGGTCCTATGCTGGTTCCTTCCCTGTCTGCCTGGAGTTGATGAACTCCCATTAGCTCAGGTAGACTGTTTCAGTGGGTGAACCCATCATGGTCTTGACCTCTTTGCTCATATTCTCACTCTTCCCACTCTTTAACCGGACTTTGGGAGCTTAGCCCAGTGCTCCACTGTGGGTCTCTGCCTCTGTTTCCATCAATTACTGGATGAAGGTTCTATGGTGATATTTAAGATACTCATCAATCTGACTGCAGGGCAAGGCCAGTTCAGGCATCCTCTCCACTACTGCTTAGATTCTTAGCTGGGGTCATCCTTGTGGATTCCTGGAAATTTCTCTAGTGCCAGGTTTCTTGCTAGCCCCAAAGTGGCTCCCTCAATCAAAATATCTCTTTCCTTGCTCTCATCTCTGCCTTTCCTCTATCTCGACTATCCTGTTCTCTCAAGTAACATCCGTCCTTTCTAAGTCAAGCATCCAAAGTGTCCCCTCTCTAAACACTGTATTCTCAACAGCCAAAGTCAAAGAACTACATATTTTATTTTGTCTTTTCTTCTCTTTTCTCCTTCCTCTTTCCCTCTAATCTTATCAATTATTTTTATCTGTTCTTTTTTCTCCTCTCTCCCTCTTTGCAAACCAAAGGAGTCTCTCGGAGAATAATCCACAGGAGCAGGGCAGCTTGGGTGAGGGCAGCAGGGGGGTAGAGCTAGCCAAGTGGGACTATGCAGCCCACAGCAAGAGGATTAGTCACTAAAATCAGGGAACTAACTGCCTGGGTTACATTAACGTGGCAATGACATGTTAAAAATAATTGTGGGGACTGACAGGGTTATTGACTTTTAGATCTACTCGGGACAGAGCTCTACAAAACAAATGATAGCCTGTCAAGCACTAAATTAGAACAGAAAAATATCCAGACTTGAAATGAAATACATTCTGCTTTAAGAATTCCCCCCAAGTATCCTGAAGTAGAACTGACCCGCTTATCCATTCAAAACAGAGATGGTAATCCAATGATTGTTCTTAGTGGTTATACAGAGGTCAACTCTCTGTCTACAATGTGGAATAAATGAGAAAAGGATACAAAAGCACCAATGATGAAAATGGGGCTGAAAACATGCTTCTGGAAGGTGAACAGTGCTAGGCCCATATAGGAGAAGATGAAGTTCTCCGCCAGAAGGTGTAACACCTCAAAAAGCTGCATGAAGAAGGAAAGAGGAGGCCATGAACTCTGCAGTCCTCCTGCTGTGCTACCTGGCAGTCCATCAGGCTCAAGGGTCTCTCTTACCTGCTTGCTTCGACTTCTTGATTCTACTGACAGATTGTTGTATGTATAATGAGCCTGTGTAATCCCACAGAAAAGGACAGCTACAACACCTGTCAAAAGAGTTGCTAAAAATCAGTGAGAAAGAAGAAGCAAGGAAAAAATTGAACTGACAAGACAATTTACAGCAGGTGAGCCACACAGCCTACCTCCCCTCTTCCTCTCTTACAGGCTCTGCTGAGACCAGCAGTAAACCTACCTGTAAATCCACAGGCTTCAGCCAAAAGAAACGTGCTCCAGGACATCAGGAAAAAGAGCGCTGTCTCCAGCAGGGGGAAGCAGTGCAGCTTAGTAAACTTGGTCACGTCAGTACCAGGTTAAGGACAGCAGCTCTGGGCATGGGCAGCAGGGACACTTGAAGTCCCCATTCTTTTAGCCCTCTCAAAGGGCCACCCATCCCCTACACCTCCTTGGAGGGAGTTTTATCTCTCTTCTTTAAATGTTACAGTGTCGGGATGGAACTTAGGAGCCCTGAACATGCTAGGCTGGTTCTCGACCACTCTGCCATACACACTTTGTTAGTTCTTTTTTCTTTCTTCCTTTTCCTCTCTCCCCCCACCCCTGATAGGGTTTCTTTAATTAGCCTTGGCTAGCCTGGAATTCACAATGTAGAGCAGGCTGGCCTCAAACTCAGAGATCTACCAGCCTCTACCTCCCAAGTGCTGGGATTAAAGGTATGCGCCACCACACACAGCTCAATTTTACTTCTTTCTTTAAATTATTTATTTTTATTGTATGTACATTAGTGTTCTGATTGCATGTACATCTGTATGAGGGTGTCAGAAACCCTGGAAATGGGATTACAGACAGAGTTGAGCTGCCATATGGGTGCTGGAAATTGAACCCAGGTTCTCAGAAGAGCAGTCAGTGCTCTTAACTGCTGAGCCATCTCTCCAGTCCTGAGCTCAATTTTCAAGTAACAAAATTTTAAAAATATCAGCTTTCCAAGGGCTGGTGGTGTAGCTGAATGGTAAGCACTTGCCTAGCATGTTTGCAGTCCTGGGTTTGATCACCCCACCACCATACGAAATAAAAGAAACTTTACAGTAGAATACAGGTTACCAGAGTCAGAGCTGGAGTGCAGAGTTGTTGTTGAATTGGTACAGAGTTTCTGTCTGAGATGAGAAATAGCATTCTGGAAACAGGCAGTGGGAAGGGATAATCAACACTGTGAATGTATTTAAAAACTTAAAATGTGTATTTAATAACTTAAAATGGTGTGTGTGTGTGTGTGTGTGTGTGTGTGTGTGTAAGAGGGGGGACACTTGCCTGCTAAGCAAGCAAGTGAAGGTCAGAGGACAATCCGTAGGGAGTAGTTTCTTCTACCATGTGGGTTCCAGGAATCAAGCTCAAGTCATCAGGCTTGGTGGAAAAACTCCTTACCTGTTGAGTCATTTTGTTGGTTCCTGTACTTACTTTAAACTGTGTACTGAGGCAAATTTTATTATATATTACCATGATTTTAAAAATTAATGATATAAGGAATGCAAAACAATTGAGTTGCATGCTTTAAATGGGTGAACTCTATAGGAAATGAAGTACTATGATTCTAAGAATAAATTTCTGGCTGCAGGCTTGACTCACAGGTTAGTTCTCTCATAGGACTGGGAAGGCCTTAGGCAGATCTGGGAAGACAGGCTCTTAAGGCTCTAATTTCCATGATTAAGGCCTGACCCATGTATGGGACAGAAAAAAAAAGAAATCTATAATTCCTGGAACAGCAATGAAGTCCTGAGGTCTCCTTTTGAGAACAAAGGGAATCTTCCTCCTATCACAACCATTCAACATAGAAGCCATCAACATAGAAACAACTCACAAACAAGCTCACTGAGCAATTAAGCCTTCAGTACCAGGGCCTTTAAACAAAGCTAGCTTGATGTGTGTTTTATAACAAAGTAGCTGCTAGCTACTCTCAACATTTAAAATGTAGTTAGGCATAGCTGCGATTTTGCAAAGAGCAAAGGATACATATCTCAAAGACTAAAATAAAAAATCTCACTAATAATTTTCCATATTATCTATACTGGTTACACATAACATGGATGTGGTTTGTATTACATTCATTAGTAATGCCAATCAAAGAGAGGACTGTGATGGAGGTTTCAGCACATATGTAGAGGGACTGCAAGCTCTTTCCATGGTTTTCTCTTTATGTTTGGTTATTTTAAACTAAATATCATACTACCCTTTGTCATGGAAGACACAGTGGAAAGTTCAATAATTCTCACCAATTACTCTGGGTTAGTTATGGCTACCTTAATGTTCATAGTCCCTAAATAGCAGAAGCTAAAGTCCAGCCTGACCAGTGGTCACTGACTGCAAGCCTCCTCTGGGTTCCTCAGTCTCTTCATCCCCTATGATTAGTGTTCCAACTGGGTTATAAGGAAGGGAGAGAAGAAGCAAAGGTAAGGACAAAGCAAAATCTAGAGTTGAATTCCCCATCTTTATTTAGTATATCTTATGTTTCATTGATGGTATTTCCTTCTTTCACACTCTTGGGAAAAATTGCTTTACTTATTCTTTAACAATTTCATGCATGCTAGCAATGTATTCTGATCATATGTACCCCAACTCCCTACACCCCACTTCAGATGCCTCAACATATCCCCACCCCCATTTTCAATACCTCTTCTTTTGTAATTCTAAAGTCTTTTTCTCAGATTATTACTTAGGGGCCCAATCACTGTGCCTGACCCAGATGAGGAAGTACCACATCTCAGGAGAACAATCAATTTAAGATTCTGAGCTGAAAGGAGGAACTGAGAACTTTCTCTTTGCAAACACAATATCATGTATGTGTAGCCAGGCAGGGACCAAAACTTTTTTTAAAAGGATATTAAAGCAGTCACAACACCAGTTACAGCTCCCATCGTAAAAGAGCCACTAAATATACCTAGAAAAATGCCAACTGACTTAAAAAAGGCAGCAGCATCAAAAGCGTGGGTATTTAGTCCTGCTGGCTGATAGGCAACAATAGACCTGGAGTTTAAAAACAAAGAGAGAGAAAGTTTTGTTTTTGTTTTTATTTTTGAAAAGATGACCACACTGGTTTTACATCATGACACACTAAACAGTCCCGACCCTCCTTCACTATTTCACCTTCTGTGGTTTTAGTTACCTGAGGTCAACCTCAAACTAAAAACATGAACTAGAAAAATCCAGAAATAAACTCTTTATAAGTTCTAAATTATATAATGTTCTCAACAGCATGAGGAAATCTCCAACCATTCAGCTGGATCCTATCCATGACATGAATCACTACTTTCACTAATATAGCCACGTGCTATATGCTAACTGACTATTAGTCCATTAGAAACCCTTGAGGTTATCAGACTATAGCATTTATGTTCAAACAACCTTTATTTTACTTAATAACGTTTCCAACGAGAAAAAGTAGTGTTGCTGAAAATTTGGATCTGCCAAAGAGAAGTCATAAAATATTTATTACGTTAGTGAAAAGTTCAATAATATTTTGAAAGAGTAAGTTTGTTGCATAATTTTATTACAACTGAAACATTGTTTTAATTGTTCTACTTTAATATTAGTTATTGCTAACTTTCTACTTGTCTAATTTATATACTGAACTTTATTATTATAGATATGTATTTGTATGTATGTGAAAATGATCAACAGGGCTCAGTATGGTTTCAAGCATCCACAAGGGGTCTTAAACTATCCCCGAGGGATAAGGAGACTCACTGGAACTGAAAATAACAACAAACATGGAGTCTAACAAGCACTGCCCAGAGCAACTACATTTAATTTAAGCTGCAGCCACCATGCTATGCTGGCACCAGCATCCTGAATGCTGCTAAGGGACAAAGCCAGAAACATTATCCTACCCCCACCCCACCTCCCTCCAGAACCAGTTACTTACGAGGACAGTACAATGGCAACAGCATCATTCAGGACACTCTCTCCAAACAGAAGAGCATAAAGATCCACATCTGCATGCAGTTCATTAAAGATTGCCAACACAGTCACTGAAATAGAGGCCCAAAGCATAGAAGTTAGTTTGGGCTTCTGCCGTCAAACTAGAGATTGCAGGTTTACAGAGGCTATTTGTCTATTAGATGGTACAAGGTGGCCAGTAATAGTCTGTCTAGTAAATGACAAAAGGGAAAATGGTAAGCTTCTAATGATGAGGTTTGATGTGATCATTGAGTCTGATGACCCCTGCACCTAAGTACACTGCTGTCTGCGCCAAAGTACACAGCCCTAATACCGCCAACATACTGAAAATACCTTGTATAGAAATTGGGGGGTGGCGGGATAGAGGCACTTATGTAATTTGTCTCTTTTTGTGGGTTGGCAATTTTTTGAAGATAGAAATCCTTTTTTTTTAACCTTAGTACTCCCAGAACTCAGCACAAAGTCAGGGTGTAGAATAGACTGATAAAGGCTTTCTCCATGACAAATCACCTGTAATTATACTTGTTAGGAAATAAATAACTAAGAAAGGGTCTTTTATGTAGCCCAGGCTGTCGTAGAACTTACAACCCTCCTGCCTCAGTTCCCTGAACGTTGAGATTACAGACATGCACTGCCATGCCCGGGCCATAATTACACTTCTCCCAGTTTTCACATTTCTGAAGCATTTAAAAACCAATGATTCTCTGGATCAATATCTGAAACTTTTAACCTCCACACTCCTTTATATTCTAAGATCTGTGCTCCTAATACTGATATTTATTGAATACAGCATAAAATTAGTATTTGTGCATTTTAAATAATAACTTTTCTATACTAACATGAAATATTTTAATAAAAACTACACTTTCTGAAATAAAAATCTGGAAAGAAAAAGGGAATCCTTTTAAACTCTTGGATTACCAGATGTTTCTCACAGCTGTTTCTATATCTAAGGGACAGATAATAACACTATGTTCTTGTGCAGCCTCTGGAAGACTCCACTGTACATGTGGGAAAGATGAGAATAAAAAGACAAATAAGGTACGGCTGTTATTATGAAGTCAGTTTTAACCTGATGGGCCCCTTGAAAGGGTTTTGGGGAACCCCAAGTATTCTCAATTCATACACACTGAGACTTACTGCTAGAACATGGTTTCTCAACTTCAGCCTTACTCGTATTTGGGACCAGATAATTGCTTTGCTGTGGGGGTTGACCTGCGTACCATATCCCTGGCCTTTATCTGCAGAAGATGATAGAGAAAGACACATGCATCCAGCTTACCTCCACAAGGCAATGGAAGTGCCACTGAAACCCAAAGTAATATAGTAGAAAGATTAAGAAGGTCCTAGGTGCTCCCAGCTAGGAGAGAACTCATGGTATCAGGCCACAGGTGGGATTCAAGATAAACATCTAATTTTGTTTAAGCTTGCATCAGCCAGGTTTTCTGGTATTTGTAGCCAAAAGTACTACTACTTAGAGAAATAGAACACCAAACCAAACGCTTAGTTCAGTGAGTAATTAGAAGAAAGTCAGTTTGCTTACCAATCCAAGAATTTGCCAGCCCCCTTCATAAACATGTGTCCCATCCCAATCTCAAGCCCCCTTCACTCAAAAATAACCATTGTGTGAATTTTACAGTGACTTTCCCCTTTTCTTTATAGTTTAATAACCCAAACACAGACTGTCTGAAACTACCATTTTAAAGAAAATGGGCTTTAAACTAACCTCTTTCTCTCTGCTAGGTTCCTCCTTGATCCCCTTCTGTGAGCTCTTTTCTCAAGGTGCCTTATGATTTAGTTCTTCGGTTCTTCCAAGCTCTTTTGTAATGCCTATTACTTTCTGTTAGGGAGGATTTTTGAGACAGGGTTTCTCTGTGTAGCTCTGGCTGTCCTGAAACTCACTCTGTAGACCAGGCTGGCCTCGAACTCACAGAGATCCACCTGCCTCTGCTTCCTGAGTCATGGGATTAAAGGTATGCACCATTATCGCCTGGCTAGTAGTAGTAGTAGTAGTAGTAGTAATAATAATAATAATAATAATAATATATCTATATATATAGATATATTATCTATAATAATAAAGATAGGATCTCACTATATAGATTGACCTTGAACTCATAGAAAACTACTTGCCTCTGTCTCCCAAGTACTGGGATAGAAGCTACACCAAGTTGTCCATCACTCTCTTAATTCACCTTAGCATCTTTTGGAATCAGAAGAAAGTTGCATCCGTTAGGATGGAGTCATATTTTCATAGTCTAACCTCATTACTGTAGTTTTCTTATTCAAGGGGTTAACTTCATTTTTCCTTAGGTTTACATGCCATTCAACCTCAACTTGACAGTGTTGCTTATATTTAATGAAGGTGTGGCAAGGTTGGTGTATGGGTTCCTTTTTCTGATGCAGTGTAATGAATGAGAATGACCTCCATAGGCTCGTGTATTTAAATACTTGGGATCCAGATGGTGGTTTGGGGGAGGCTATGGAACCTTTAGCAGGTGGAACCTTGCTGGAAATACATCACTGGGGCAGCAAACTTTGAAGGTTTGCAGGCTTGTTCCACTTCTCCCCTCCCCCCAACTTCCTGGGTGCACATGCAAATATAAAAGAAAGAAAATGCAATTATCCAGCTTCCTGCTCCTGCTACCATGCCATGCATTTCCAACATCAACAGACTCTGTCACTCTAGGATCATACACGAAAATAAACTCTGTCTTCCTTATTTTACCGTTGGCTATGGAATTTTCTCACAGCAGCTACAAACAACTAATAAATATGACCCTTTCCCCAATACTTTCTGAAATCCACTGATTCCAGCATTTTCCATCCCACCCCAACTAGAATTCAATCTGTCTTCCTCTTTTAGTGACCTGTCAATCAAACTCAATAGCCCCAGCAGTTCCTCTTTGGGGAATGGGTCAATTCTTCCAGAAATATCTTTCGTGGGCATTTATTTTTATAAAAAATATTATTAGTGGGCTGGAGAGATGGCTCAGTGGTTAAGAGCATTGCCTGCTCTTCCAAAGGTCCTGAGTTCAATTCCCAGCAACCACATGGTGGCTCACAACCATCTGTAAAGAGGTCTGGCGCCCTCTTCTGGCCTTCAGGCATACAGACAGAATATTGTATACATAATAAATAAATAAATATTTAAAAAAAGATATTATTAGTTATGTACAGTGTCACACGCCTTTAATCCCAGCACTCAAGAGGCAGAGGCAGGCGGACCTCAGTGGGCTAGAGACCAGCCTGGTCTACACAATGGGTTTCAGGCTGGCCAAGACTACATAGTAAGGCTCAATCTCAAAAAATTGTTATTGTGTGTCACACATATGTGTGGAGGTTGTAACACAATTTTATGAAGTCAGTTCTCTCTCCCCACCTTTATAAGGATTCCAGGTTTGGAACTCAATTTACCAAACTTGTACAAGAATCTTTATTCACTGCACCATCTGATGGTCATTTTCTGTGAGTTTCTAAGAGCCCTCATAACCCAGATCACTCGCACAGCCTCTGGCCTACTTCAGTTTCCTTATCCTCATCAGCAAATCTGAACACTGGATGTTCCTATCAGCTTCAAGTGTCACCATACAGGCTAACAGTATTTGTGCTCAGTGGGGACTCTTACTTTAGTGTGTAAATATTGGAGGGAAATTTCTGGCTTTCATAGCACTCAAAATGATCAGCACCCCTTCTTTTCCTCTACAGATGTGCTATTTTTATATCCAAGCCTCACTGTTTCTACTGCAATAGTCTGCTATTTCCTTTATGGGTTTTTTTCTTTTGCTGTCCTGTTTTCTGTATTTTTGTTAGGGACTAAAGGACATCTCGAAGTAACATTCCCTCCAACATGCTTTCCTTTTCAAAACTTCTAATTCATTTACAAAAGATAAACACCTAATTTGGATTTGAAGAATAACAGAATAACCTCTTTATCATGACATAAACTAGTAGGAACAGGCTACATGCCTGCCAGCAATGCTTCTTAGAGGACATATTCTTACAACACTGATGCTATCTCAAGACACAAAGTCAACTTCTCCCATTTGGCCTGACGCGACAGCTTACACAACATGGAAACCATTAGGGATAAGACTTTTTAAAAAGCTGTGTTCCATATAATTTATTACATGAATTACATTTATGGCCTCCTCATGCAAAACTTTGACTCTAGTAGTTTACCAGTATATACTATAAGAATTGCCTTTAAAAAAAAAATCCAGCTGCTGGAGAAAATTTAACAATGATAATCACAAATGCTGATGATTTACCATAAAACAGATAACCATGTTAAGCATTTTTTAATTTAATTCAGTTCATATAAAACCTTATGAGGCAGCTAATATTACCATTTAAGGGTAAGAAAACAAAACTCTGCAATGCACGGGCTTCTCTATACTTCATTAATGAAATCCACCAAATCTCAGTTACGTCATCTGTCCACTGTAGACTGCTGTGCGGGGGGCTCTATCCACATCAGCTACATTGAGGATTCAGGGACTCAGCACCGATGGAAGCAAATAAAAATGACCAGTATCTAGAGTTGGCAGTCTAGGAGCAGGAGATCCTGGGCATCAGACTCTATCAATCAGAAAGGGTCTTAGAAGGAAACAAATGGCACACTCAAACAGCAAACTAAGAAGAGCTTTAGATGGTGATGTATTCCTTTAATCCCAGCACTCTGGGAGGCAGGGGCAGGCAGAGCTCTGTGAGTTCAAAGCCAACCTGGTCTAAAGAGGGAGTTCCAGGACAGCCAGGACTGTTACACAGAGAAACCTTGTCTGGAAAAAACAAGAATTAAAAAAAAAGCTTTATAAAGAGGTCATTTATAAAAATGTAGGAAGAGTGCAGGAAAACAGAAGGGAGAAGACAGTGCTTGAGGCCAGAACCAGGGAACTTACAGCCATAGGTCTGAAGGCTCAAGAGCAAGGAGTAGTTAAAAGAACCTGGAGTTGTAGGGACTGGGTTCCTTGATAGGAGCTGTTACTTCTGATGAAGAGGTACAACTGGTCTGAAAGATTCCTATACCTCCATCCTCCTTCCAGTGGCTTCACTATAGACAAATCCGAGA